CAGCAACAATTTACTGGTGATTGGAGAATTGAAGAAGGATGATGAGGATGCGCCAAATAAAAGCAAAAAGGCCGAGGAGACGAAGAAGAAAGATGAGTCGGCGGTGGCTTCGCCGGGTGAAGTAAAAAAAGTCGAAAATGCTGAAAATGGTCGAGATGCTGTACGCAAGCCCACGGAGAAGGCACCAATAAAAGAAGCTGAGAAAAAAGAGACAGCTACCGGCGGCAAACGTACTTATACCACCTCCAAAAACGCTTATGATGAACCGGGCAGTAAGATGCCTCGTGGAAGGTAATTATCATATTTTTTTTCATTTCACTTTTTTCTTCCCAGTATTTTAAATAAAAAATAATGATTAGTTCCAGTGGTAAGTGTTGTCGAAATTCTATAGATACAAGTGGTGAATATTCCTGGCAAGGAGATTGGAAGAGAACGGGGGCCTGAAACCTTCTATGTGTTAACATATGCCGTTTGTTTAGCATTATTGGCCCACCGTGGAAAGGAACAGAATCGCCTGGAAGCGCCATTTGTATCTCCCAAATAAGTAAGCCTGTATGTGCAGTGACTTGGTGGCCGGTCCGTGTTTCATCCCTGAACTGTAAAGCACAGACGACAGAATCGGTGCGGAATGGAGTGGGAATCATCAGTACAGTGCCCCATTCCTTCATGTTAAAAGGAATACGTTGATTATCGAAGAAAGTTGAAGATGGAAGGGAGGGAAATAAAGGTGAATGTTGAGGAAGACTGTAGGCCTGTTCTGGATTTTCGCTTACTAACTTTAAGTGATGCTTTCTGTGGTACATCCTTTAAGAGATTTTTAATAATTACGTTACTTTTTTTTCCATAAATGCAATTGTTAGCGAATTTCACCGTGCTGCATTAGATTAGTATAAACGCACGAGTTGACTGGATTTTTCTAGATACAATAAATTGTTAATTCATTTCAGTTCTGTACTTTATAACAGAAATATTATTTTCACGTTTATAAGATTTGATAGCGGTGAAACTACAAATTGTTAACAAATCAATGATAATCTAATCTCTGGTAAATGATGAGGGAGCAATTTCATAATAATGCACCATACATACATCATACATACATATATACATACGTACATACATACATATACATACCTACATACACACATACGTTACATATATACATACCTATATATGCATACCTACATACATACATACATACATACATATACATACCTACATACATACATATATACACATACATGTATACATACATACATACACACATAAATACATACATACATACATTCGAGATGTCATTGGTGTACTAAATATAGCTATCTCTTCTTGAACATGGCCATTCCTAGACCACGATGAGACACCTTACCAACTAGGAATTCGATATCTTTTGCAAAAATGCGTAAATGCAAATGTATGTGTAAATGAAAATGCGTAAATAGAAATAGAAAAATGCGTAAATAGAAATAGAAAGTTATAATAGTAAAGAACGGAAAAACGAGAAAAAAAGAAAAAAGGAAGGATGAGAATTAGAAGATTTGTGAGATTATTATAATGGTAAGAAGTGTTCCGATCCATTAAGTCGTATACATTTCTTACCATTACCACATCTGGATCTCATCAGTACGACGATTGTGGTAATTTAAGTTAGTGAAAGTTAGGATTAAATTAATTGTGTGATGGAAATTTTGTTTTTGCGTAAGGAGTTTGAATTTAATATGATTATAAAGACAATGAGCAGCATTTTTGGCCTTAATCAAAGTGAATTTGCAGAGAGGGCGCTCCGTATCGTGGTTCAGCAATTGGGCAGCGTGGTTCATTCTTGCCGAAAGACTTTCGCCCAGGCTGGAGGCCAGAAATGGCGCCATCAGCTCAACCACTACTTGCTCTTCGTCCGAAAGTTCCGTTTGGTGGAGGTATTGTTTAATGCAAAAAAAAGCTCATTATTCGCTGAAAATCGTAGATTTCTCAAAATTAGTTACAAATTTCAATATTGTGCATAAAAAGATCAGTGATAATGCATGTTGCATATTCCAGGCCCTGCTAGCACGGCAAATGAATACGGCTACAACGCAAATTATAGCCCGTATGATCGATATAAAGGCCCGGAAGATCGCTTTGTTGGCGGTATTGGTGGTGGTGGTGGTGGGCCGGATCAGAATTCGTCATGGCGACATGGTATTTTGTTAAATTTTTTGTGAACTTGAAAGAGGAAGTATTGTAAAGAAAGAAAGAAAGAAAAGGGAAAAAGAAGAAACGAAAAAAGGAAAGAGAAAATCGAAAAGAATTAGAATTTTTATA